AAGGATGTGAGCGAACAACACAAAAACAACTCTGCTCTCTAACATTTCTCCTACACGAGGTTCTAACGCTTAACACCTCTCATACCTCTGATATGTCTGCCTTTCTGATTTACAGACTTCCTCATCAGTATCACATATTATAAGAATGCCACTCAGTCCCCTAAAGTCAATTAATTTTCACCCAACTTTAGACACTGATAGATATGAGTCTTCTAAATATGCACGATTTATTAAAATCAAGATCCATTAATTATTCTGTGACCAATCAGAGATAATGTCAATAAGGCCCTCTCTCGCACTTTTACAAAAAGTTCCTGGATCCGCACCAAGATTGAATGAGTTCTTCTTCTCGTCGTGCCCCACATCTCCAAACATTTCATGGAAATCTTTTTTGCATAATTTTGCTTACAAACAAACAAGGAAACATATGGAAAGGGGGTGAAAACATAACATCCTTGGCAGAAGGTAATGATTGAGTCAGAACTCTATCTAGCTTCACATCTGTATGCATTTATTGTATTCATTTGACAACAGTGGCACATAAATACATATTTTTTTTAACATTAATTCTGATCAGGATTTTTTCATTCTTTGCTATTTTAATTTGCCTGCAAAAAAAATCGGAACATTATATTATCTCTTGGCAGAGTTTCACATGAAAGCCAACATGAAATTAAAATTAGCTTTGTTTACATTGAACAAATTTTCTGAGCAAGCGTCTTTACTAATTCCATGTGTCAACAGGACATATTCACAACATAAGATTATGGTTTCTCTGAAGATTATCTTCTAAATTGCATGCAGCCAAATAAACCGCTGATGAATTTGTAAACAAGCAGGTAAACAAGAACATGCTTGTTTCCTTTTCCTCACCAAGAACCTCTTGAAGATTCATCTCTAGTATCAATCATCCATTACTAGCACGTATTGTGCACCTCTTTACGTGATCTCCTATATTTTGTCTTATTGCTCCTTGCACAAAATACGTGTGTATATACAAATGTTATTATCCATTATATTAGTGAGACATATTCTGTATTTTTGTGTTTGATTTTTGTCTTTTGCGTTCTTTTTTTCAACTGTCATAGTTAATATTTCTGTGCCAATGGAGGACTAGGGAAGTAAGAATTAACATGACATGTTTATACTGTGCATATGATAATAAAGAATCTTGAACGTATTTTTCAGATTCATCAAGGTCTCCTGCTGTAATGATGCCTTATTGTTATCCATCTGTTAACTTCCCTTCGGATAGGAGCATCTGCTGAACGAGTAAATGCAAATGAATAATTTTACTAATACATACATATATGATCTACAAACTATCCAAGGAATACATGTGTTACTATGGTAACACTGTTTACGTTTGACAAAACAGTTAATTTGGGAGCTGTTGTGGAGCTTTTGATTAGTCACCATTAATAATTTTCCTGCTTTTTTCCCCCCTTAGGGATATGAATCATTACATTTGCAACAGAAGCAATGTTGACTGTGATTCTTGTACAAAATCATGGAAATGCACAACTACCATCTCCCACCTGCCTAAACTGAGATAAAACTGTAGATGATGTTTATTTCTCTAATATTTTTAATGGTGTAAAAAGCCCTGTTAGATGTGGTCCTCAGTGATATGTTCAAGAAGCTGCAGCCATGTTCTGAAAGGTGCTTCGTGTTTGGGCTCAAGCTCACTGCTGAACCGCCGTAATATTACAAGGACCTGGCTGTATCCAGTTCCTGTTTAAGGTTTCCCTGAATCTGCTCGCCTGCATTTGCAAAGCGTCTTCATCAATCACGTCACTGGTGTGAAAGGAAATCTGAGAAGAAGAGGAGCTGTAACTACTCCGTCATTTAGTCCTCGTCTGTGGATCTGTGTTGGAGATGTAAAGTGATGACAGCAGGTACTGAACTCTGTTTCTGAGATACATGAATGTGTGGATGAGTGGGAGGAAGTGGCCCTGTGGGTGGTGGCTGATTGAAGACAGTAGAGGAGAGGAAAAAAATAACTTTTAGAACCCATTTGATAAAGTGAAAAAGTCTACACCAATAAACACTTGGCTGTGACGCACAAATCCTTATCAACGTAATGCAAGTTTGTGAGCACAATTCAACAGGTTTCTTTTGTGTTCAGTGACAACTCTTGCCAAAACAAGGGCATCAATGAAATGTGAAAATGTAGGAGGGTATGGAAGGTTGCAATTTTAATTGCTAAAGGCAATTAAAAGTGATTGACATTACACATAAACACAGTAAATTGGGCCAACAAAAATACACCAAATACTTTTTTGAAAGGAAAATATAAAGGTAATAACTAAAGTAGAAAAGATTCTGACTGTGACTGTGATTGTGTGCATACAATAAAAGACGACTGACGATTGTTAGAAAGATAAAGTTAATCTATATTGAATACAATCGACAAGATGATACTGAGGTGAATCTAACAGTGTTGGCACTCAATACCTTTCAGCACTGTTTTGGTCTCCACCTACTCCTGACTGATATGTTTGGCCCTCAGTGCTTTCGAGATCAGGGAGAATCAATCAAAACAATAAAGGTTGCAAGGCAGTAAAACAGAACAATGAACAGACTGATTTGCTATAAAGAGCCGTGAAGCTGAGGGGCTGTGCAGAGATGGGTGATAACTCTCTTCTCCGTTTGTCATGAGGTGTGATCAGCGTGTTTTGTGATTACTGAAGCGTATGCGTAAGTAATAATACACATTTTCTGTGTATTTGAGTAGACTAGTTACCGTGTGCTGAGCAGCAGGCAGAGAGTCAGCGATAGTCTTACCACCCACCTTCATCCTGTTTCCAGGGTTTCATGGTGACCTTTGAGGTACAATGAGTTCCTGCTGTTTCTCAGCTCAAAGCCCAAAATCACTACACACTGAGACCTTGACCATGTTCTGATTAAAATTGAACTGCAGCTGGCCTTTGGAAGCACACTGGCCAGTGGAGTGGGGAAGTACATCATTGCATTTCACAGTCTTCCCCACTCAATGCTTTGCTGAGTGGAAACAAGTCAACCAGGAAGTACTCATAGCTGACTGAAAAGACACTTTTCTTAAGGATTTTTTAAATGGTGAAATTAAAGGTGCATTTGGTTTTCATACATCGACATTTGAGATAATAATAATGCAGACCTGACAACATATGAAGTGGTTACAAATAAACTGTTTAAGGTGCTATATCTAATCAACAATTAAATAACCAGTATAGAAGAAACCTTGTGAGTTTAGCATAAAGCTTTATTTCCTTTTACTCATTTTCAACAGGTTGAACTCGAGCTGCTCAAGACTCACTCACTTGAGTCTGGACATTCTCCTGAAATTTTCGGTAGGGGCAGTATGGGAGAACACAAATGCCCCAGTCATTTGCTCTGGATATTTTCTGGAATTCATCTTGCCAGGAAATGTCAGGAAAATGTCCAAGTGAGTTCATGTGAGAATACAGCAGGAAAATGTCGAGTGGGCGTGTTAATGACTTTTCTAACAAGCCATGGACTCAAAGCTGGAAGAAATCAAATATGTCCAAGAAGACCCTGAAGAAACTGTCACCTTGAACAGACAAAGAGATTCAAGAGCCTTTGACGATAAAGGCCAACGCATCCTGAAGGTTCATCTCAAGCGCCACCTGATGCATTTGATGTCTGAAAACAGCTTTGATTTGCTGCAGTTTCTATAATTTCTTTAAAATGTTTTAATTTCAGTTCAGTTGATTTTATTTGTATAGGACTTTTCAAAACAAGTATCAAAGTGCTTTACAAAATTCAATATAAAACTCATAAACATTTTCCAGGACTAACCAGCTAGCCCTGTAAAATTAAGTTAACCTGACTGCTCTAAAAAAAATTGGGTAAGATAATGAAATCTTTGATTCTAGTTTGCATTAATGTGTTTGAAATGACTGAGACACCAGATATTTGATTTATAGACAGAGACTGAGTGGTTTGATTATTAATGAGTGTGGCAGATATGGTTTCTGTTAAAATATAGGAAATATGAAAGAACATTGCAGTGAATAGGCCAACAGCCGGATTTTCCATATCCCCGCACGTACAGGCAGCATTCCAAGACTTCCAAAAATAACCCTCCTGACAACGATGAGAAAAATGAGCAGAGCATAAGGCTCATGAATTCCCACACATACACGATGAAGGTAGAGGTGAAAACAGTCAGAGTCATCACGGCTTTGCATGTGATTGATGCTATCTTTGAAGTAATGTGCAGCCATCTTCATCTAGGCAGAGGAACTTAATCGCATCGCTGCCATTTTTCATGACAGCTGAATATCACCCCCTTTTAATGTGGACAGTCAGGCCACGTGCTGCAGGCTATGGAGGCAGTAATTCTGCAAATATAAGTCCTGATTCTAAGTCTGTGGGATGATGTGAAGGACCCACAGAGCAAAAACTAAACTACAGTATGTCCTTGTTCTGATGAGGGCAAAGCAAGTCAGTGACGATAAGCCTGTGGCAGCACAGACCAGAAACACAAAGATCACTGTGTTTGTTTTGTAACATGGATTTAACACAACCCAGAAGGCCTGCAGCTGATTCATGAAATGACAAAAATAATAACAATTAGAATTCAATATCCATCAAGATCAAAATCCATGCAGTTTTCTGAGAAATGTAAAATATGACTTTTTCCTCTCTGTCTCTCCTACAACCACATTCACCCTAAATATTGAACCCAGGTTTACAACTAATTTAACTGTTGTAACGCAATTTCAATATCCTACATGTGTAACATGTTACTCTTTTATGTTGTCTGTATTGTACCCATTTGTACTTTTTAAGCTGTGTGTTTAATTTGTACTTTGAATGTGTATTTGTCTTTTCACTTTTTTGCTGCTGTAACACAGTGACCTCTATAAAAAGAGCGTGGTGTTGTGATTCACAATAATCTCACTAACTACCCAAAAAAAAAAAAAATAACTTCATAGCCTGATTATGTAATATTAACAGGACACAAGGCACAAAAGAAAACAATAAAACACACATTATTTCCCATTAGTATTTTAATTCCCAAATTCTTAGTTTCTAATCTAGAAAATGCTAATTCCAACACCCAGAACTATGGCTCCCTCCAGTTCCATTTTTATGCATATGAATAAAGCTGGGGTTAACATTCGCAGCATTATGGCTCATCTACAGTCGAACACCTCGCACTATAAAGGAACAGATCATTCGACACAAGAACATGCAGGCAAACAGTCATCTAGTGGCATTGTGGCTCTTTTGTAATGTATCCTAGAATGAAGGTTAAGGTTAGACTGCATAAGATGGGAAACTTTACACATTACTCAACTGCCCCCTGCAGGACACATACTGTAAGGCAACGTTACTTGACATGGTCTCTGTGAACAGAGCAGGCACAGCACAGAAAATGCCTAATGTCACTGAACCAGAGTCAAAGTCATCATGGAAAATAAAGTCAAGAGCCACAAAACGTCCTCAACTGGAACCACTAACATGTTAAATTAAAAAAAAAAAAAAACTAAAATGTAAGTCTATAGGTGTTGCTATGCAGCAGATTAGTCAGTAGGATTACAGAGATTTTCATTAAAGTGCCTTTAAAAAGAGAGTAGCATCCTGAGTCATAAAGTCTGACATGTTCATCTAGATGAAACAGTGACATAACAGATGAAAATGCTACATGTACACATGTAGTGTACTGCAGTTCTCTACAGGCATCTCCATTCAAACAGTATAAGAACTTTAAAAGATATCAAGTGGTCATTTACAATTTCACTGCGGAATCTAAAACTTTAAAGAGCCACTGGAAAATGTACCCTCAACATTCTGCTTCACAGTTTCACCCCTAACTCCCTCCTCACTTAAAGACTCGACACAAACAAGCTTGGTCCTCTCCTCTCCTCTCAAAGATTTAAGAGTGAAATCATAGCAGCGGTTGAATAAAGGAATGAAGTAAAGGAGAATCTGATTTTTTTAAAAATAATAGTTAGGTGAGGAGAAGGCAAAAAAATAAATCTGTAAAATCCAGGGTGCGTCACATTTGGTCACCACTGTTGGGAATGATTACTATGTAGTTCCACAATAGCTTGATCAGTCATGTTTCACTAATGGCTTTTGGGAATTATTATAGTTTGGTAAGAACAGCACTGATGTCAAAGCTACACTGTGTTTACAACTTCACAAGTAAATCACACACAATGTCTTGGCCTCAAATGAAAACAATAAAGTGTTGTAGAGGACGATAAAGCTGTTTTCAGACACGCACTGAAGGCTGCATGTGGGAACGCAAATGTCTGAGTCAGTTGCTCCAGACATTCTATCAAAACGGAAAATGTCTGGGTGAGCCGATGTGAGAATACAACTGAAAAATGTTCACAGCGAGAGAGTTGTGAGTGTTGATGAGGTTTTGAACATGCGACAGACGCAAAACTGGACGAGCACAAATATCTCAGAATGAAAAAGATGTGTCTTATACGTCATAAGAGGCCAACGAAGATGTCAAGCTGGAAAGAACGATTCAATAGCTTTTGGTGATGAGGGCCGGCGCCGATGTTGATGTGCTGTACAAAAAAGAGGCACACTCTAGAAAATGTTTGGACCCAATTTCCCAGACATTTGGCGTAGTTCATGTCTGAGAACCGCCTAAAATACCCTCATTCCTGGCACAAACTTTTTAAGCCAGAGTCTACAAGTGTTAATCCCCTGGTGGGGGCTCTGAAGGCGCTGTACGCGATTTTGGATTAAAGTACTAAGAGCAGAGATTAAAACATAAATCACAAAATCTGATCAGCAGTTAGTCTGTCATCATCAAGGTCGAGGAATTACTGTGGTCCCCCCGACTCAAATCATCTCATCCAGACACAAAATAACTCTACTTGAAATTATAATGGACAACTACATTAACATCTAGAGCTCATTTTAATCTCCTTTCGAAAAACACCAGGACGGCACCTTCCGAGGAGAAGGACTCATTTTTCCAGTATTCATCCCTTCCAGTCGCTGGTGCTCGCCGTCATCAAAATCCCTTAGTGTCTTTTTGTGAGAAAGAGGTAGAGCAAAAGGCGGAGCCTCAGCACACGTATGGTGTGACCCCCACCCTGCGGAGCGTGCTCAGGAGATGATGCGAATGCCAAAGTTCTTCTTGAGCTGCTCCAGGAAGATGAAGGTCAGCACTGTGTGGGGAATCAAGCGGATCCCTGCTGGGACGAGACCCTGCAGCAAAATACAACATTGCATTGTTACATTGAATTCTCAACCAAGCGCTACGACAACAAAGGTATGTATCGCTAGAAACTGACTTTGAATCACTGAAGTTATGCATTTGTTCAGATCACACAGAAACTACAGAACATATTACCATGAAGCCTGGTGGGAGGATGTGGGGCGGGCCAGGGAAGACACCATACCATTTTGGTGCAGAGCCAGATCAGGGGGCTGATCCACTTTTTTCAATTTCTTTAACATTATGTACATTTTTTAGAAAAAAATCTAAGTCCAAAGTCAATTTTTTTAATTAACTTGACACTTACTTACACAATGTGCTTGAACTAGGAACAATTTTCCAAATATATTTAGTCAAATGTGGCTTTACTCAAAGCTTTAGAGCTGAGAGCAAATTTAGCAGATTTAAATAATTACTTTACTGAAGCAGGACTTGTGCATGGATGTTGAACATAGAATTATCCCCTATGTGTTAACTGTGGTCCCTTAATGGCCCCCTGATTCCCGAAGTCCTAGATCCTCCACTGCAGCCAGCAACAGCAGCTCTCATAGGTTCATTACAAGAATAGTGTAGTGATAGTGTATTTGCATAGTAAAATACATGCAGTGTCCTGTAGAGCCACTGCTGTGACAAAGAGAGGGACCAGTATATACTCTAAAGACTTCCTGATTAAAAAACGACTCGTATGAAGTTGTTTTTTTTTACCTTGTAGAATGCTAACGGTCCCAGCTTAGCAGTTTCACGTAAGCAATGTGTCACCCCCTAAAGAGAGAGACAGGCTGGGTGAGACTGACGACATTATGGCACATGATGAGGATCGATAAGCAGAAATAGAGAGGAATGAAGATATTAGTGGAGAAAACGAAGAGGGGTCTTCTCACCGCGTACTCTCCCTTTGAGTTCATCAATCTCGTCTTCAGCACATCCAGAGGTTGACACAGGAAAGTAGCACAGCCTCCCTGCAGAGGAAGAGTTCACACAAGCAGAGGTCAGCAGGGGGGGGGGGACTTGTAAACACTTTACACACCCACTGAGTCAGGTTTCCACCGCACACAAATGTATAAAACCTGATACTTACAGCAATGAAGCTGGAAAGAAAGTGTGTGAGCATGTTATCTCCCATCATCCCCGTTCCCAACACGAGCTGCTTGGCCTGGTCGTAACACGCCAACTGAGGGTGGGAAGAGAAACACGAGACAGAGATAATTTGTGTCATTTCAAAGGTCTGTTGTTTAAATCAGCATTGTCCAGATGTAAACATGGCTCAGGTGTCTATCTGTGTTCTGGTTGGTGTCTAGGATACTGTGGTCATATGATCCTGGAATCACATTTTTCATGAGTTGGCCTATATGTATTTTGAAAAAAAATACATAAATCAAAAATCAGTCAAACACTGCAAATATTAGTGTCCATTCTAAAATGTCAGTGCATGGGTCCCCCCAGTGGTAGCACAAAAAAGACAGTCACTTCATAAATGTTGTCAAATTTTCTAATAATAAAAAGATTATTTGACTGACAAAAATCTAAAAATGATACTGACAACCAAGCTTTGAGACCGGGGATGGGAAACTGGGAAATATGGTGTTCAGAAAAGTTCTGAAGACATTTACTATGCAAAGCTGCATTTAGTTTTGATCTGCTGACATTTAAAGAGATACTGCAGCTAAATTATACGACTGTTCTCTAATAAAATACTTTAATGCTGGTTTCAAAATCACATTCACACCAATTTTACAAGAAAACTAGAATTACTGCACTGCAGTTGTACGTCTCTGCCAACCAGTGCAGTTTCCGTGCACATGTTTCTAAATACTTTTTTTCCAGATTCATATAAGGTCACTGTAACCTTTGACCACTGAAACATACTCACTTGATCTGAAAATCTTGGTCCAAGTGAAGAGATATCACATTCAAGAGGCCAAAAACATGTTTTTTGAGGCCACCACAACCTTGACCTTTGACCACTGATATCTAAATAGTTCATCAGTGAGTCCAAGCGAACACTTCAGATCTTAAGCAGATCTTTAGATACCATCTTCAAGAAAAACACAAACATACTTCGTGAAGCCACCGTGACTGTTGACACTTAGCTACCAAAATCAAAGCCAAGTTCAAGTGAATGTTTGTGCCACGTGTAACATTCCCTTTGGGAATTCCTAAAACACTGAGTTCAAAACAACGCAAGGTCATGTGACCTTGACCTTTGACCACAAAAATGAAATCAGTTCATCTTTGAGTCTAAGTGAATATTCGTACCAAATTTTGACACCGGCCAGCTATGGCGGCGGTTCAAACTGCCACAGTCTGACCGCCAGTAGACTGCATCCAGGTAAAGTTACACACTAAAGAAAACAGTATGACAAATGGATCAGTCAGGGGAGTTTTGTGTGTTTTGGTTATACATACACACCAACCCATAAAATTATATTTAAAATAAACCATTTCAAAAAGTAGCCAATCCATATAGGAAACTGACTCATCGATAAATAACTGTACCTTTAATTTAAAAATTTTATCTCATGTAATAACTTAAATTTGGATTCTAACTTTGATATACACCTAAACATGACTAATAAACATATGAAAGTGTTTTAGAGAAAATCTATTGAAGATGTGATTACATCAGATAAAATGCACACAGTAGAATATACAAATGAAGAAACAGTGCTCCTCACTGGCTGTAGACTCCTCCTGGTTTCTTTCAAACTCACAAGCTCTTTATTAACTTCACATGAAACCAACAAAAGGTCCCAGTTTATAAATGTCCACCTATCAGCAGACTGTGAGTGATGTGACTGACCTGTCCAACCGTGACCATGGCTCCTCTGCTGGAGGCCATGGTGGCTCCTGAGAACAGTCGCCTCACACCCTCTGTGGGACAGGACACAGGTCACAGATCTGACATGAGTGATCAGTGCGGCATGTGTGAAGCTCCACACGATTAGATTTACCTTCTCTGGAGACTCTGAAGAGCCCATCGACAGCATGCTTGTAGCTACAGGAAAAAAGAAACACATCAGCATTAAATCACGGTGAAAGACTGAGGACCTCTACTGGACAAAATAAAGTTCAAACACTCACTTCCTCCTCAGCTCAGGTGGTAGTTTCATATCATTCTGCATCCTACAAGCCAAAAAGTGTTCAGATATTTTATATTAACATTTAGTGTTTTTGACCATAAACTAATAATAATTATAAACCACTTAATTGCAGGAATTGTGCATTATTTATTAATGCCAGTTTGAAAACTGTCATAGAATCTTACCTGACATTCACCATGTCTGCTGGCGTTCCAACAAATCCACCAGTGAAACCTGTTGAAACACAATCCTGCATGGGTGATACTGCATGTGTACGTGCATGTGTGCACATATATCTTTACAAAGAACATTTTGAGTCCGGACCTTTTGGTAAAGTGAGGACAGTTTGGCCGGTTGTGCAAGTTGTGATTGTAACAGTTAGGGTAAGGGGCTAGGAAAAGCATTATGCCAATGAGCGACCTCACAAAAGTGGCAAGAAGTACAAGATTGTGTGTGAGTGCTCGCACCACCAAAGGCTCCCAGCAGGACCTTCTGGTAGAACGGCATTGGGCCCTGGCTTGTGCTGCCCATCATGTCCCTCACTGTCTCATAGATGGCAAACCTGGTGAGGGAATAGGACATCTGAGGAGAGAGAGGAGAGAGAATGACTCAGGGATATGATTCATGTTTCCTTTTTTTAGCCACTAGAGGGAGCTTCTGGCAACATCACATGGTCAGGATGCACCTATACAAGTTAAAACCCCTTCTCTTCATCATTCACTGGCTATGACTCATCTTTTCTGTGTCCCTCCAGTCGTAATGTAGACGACCTGCAAAATGTATAGAACTGCTAAACACACTGTAATCAGTACAATTACCTGTCTGATCTATTTATTCAGTATCGTACAGTACTCTCTGTATGAAGTCAGAATTACAACCTGACTTTATTTACTGGAAGAAACAGCACGTGAATCTTGTTGAATCTCATAGGAAGCAGAATTTAAATGTGCTCTCAGAAGGGGACTGACTCATTATTTTAAGCAAAGCACTTTGAACTGCCTCCCTGATATGAAATATGGTATAAAATGTAATTACCCTGAGTTGCCTAGGACGCTGATTCATGTCCAAATGTCTTACATGTTTGTTAATTGTTAAATATTTGCTGAGTGGTTTATGACCTTTTAATGTTGTTTTATTGTAATTGACAGTATCTTGCCTATTTAATCAGATTCCTGTTTCAACTGTGAAGTTATTGTAGCTTTGTTATAATAATGTATTATTATTATTATTATCATCACTATATAAGTAGTAGCATTAATAGTTTTGTAGTAATTTGTAGTTAGTAGTATTGGTATTAGTGTTGCAGGAGTCAGAAGAAGAAGAGAAGGGGTTTATGTTGTGGGCACACATGAGGACAGAGTGATAATCCACACGCACCTGTCTACAGAGGGAGGCAGAGAGGCCATTGTAGAGAGCCAGCACCCCGTCATTCTTCACCACGTGAATGGCCATCCCCAACATCCTCTTCTTCACCTCCTGCTGTGTCTGCAGATGTACCTGGAAAGAAAGTCACAAGTTAGGTATTAATGTCATTTTCAACAAGTGAGTCATTGTAGCTGACAGAACACTGACACCAGTCTGCAGACAAAGACAGTCACCTGACCCTGCTGGGGTTGACACAGCAACTTTTGTACAACTTCTTCCTGCTTGTGAGGAAACTGAGAGGCCCTTGTTAAAATATTTAGGCAATACAATATCACTACATTTTTACCGTCGCGACAAAGCTCAGCCACGGACGGATCTGTAGTGTAAACGGAGTAATCATGAGTAGGTAAGTTAAGATACCATGCACAGGGTAAGGGTTGTGTGTGTGTATGCAAGAGTGATTATGTGCATTGTCCTTGTCAGCGGACGTCAGCTGCTTCACAACATGGCCTTTGTCTTCTATTCTAATCTATATCAAAGTCTGAAGGCCACTGTGCACTTGTCAACAGTGTTCCTCCTCTCACTCTTCCACTGTTATTGGCTGCTTGATTCAATTAATCATTCTTTTAGTCAGTTCCTCTATTTCAAAACACAAGTGGTTTTGTCACTAAGACTGACACCCACCTACATCCTGGTTTCTCCATGTAGTCACTGGTTTCGATAAATCCAACTAAAGTACACACACACACACACACACACACACACACACACACACACACACACACACACACACACACACACACACACACACACACACACACACACACAAGTTACATATTCCACCCAGATGTATTGATAAGTGTCTGGCCTAAAAAACATGAGGTCTAAAAATCCTGTTTTGCAACTCTGCTGCTACAGTGAATGACAACAACAGATTGGCATTTCTGACGGTGAAATAGATGTCTTTGTTAGCAAGTAAAAACTGAATAAAATGCGACTGGGCATGTTTTGCTGAGTAATGTGTGTTTACTCTCTGCTGACCCCACTTTCACATAAGTATATTTTCTCTAAATTACACCTCAGTCTGGCCTTTTAAATTTAGCCACTACAGTTATGCAGTAAGCATAGAGCTTTGTATGCTGTTGCAGCAAAGTCATCTGTCTCTTCTTCTGGCAACAGTGACAAAGTAAACGTTCCAGCTGGAGTGTATAATGTTAAATGTTTTCAACAATGCTTCGTGAATGCTTGATCAGGAGCAGCTCGGCTTGGAGGTGTGTGCACATTTGTGAATGTCATTCTGCTATGGTAACTCTGCAGGGGAGCCACAGTTTAACAAACGGACTGCACCATAGGACTGATTCATTTTATTGTTTATATCAGTAGAATAATCACGTTACCACGGGCTGCTGTTGTTCTACACATTGAAAATGACCCAAATGAGTCATTTTGAATAAGGCAACTTGCTGCTTTGAGGATAACTTTGATCATTTTGTTGCATGCATTGCCTTATCGTTTATAATTGTAAATATTTAATATTGTGATAATGATTTCAGACATATTACCTAACACAACTGCCCATACATCAACACTGGTTCATTCAGGACACTTGATAATGATAAATAATAAACAGTACTCACAGGTTGTTTTACTTACATATGAGCTTATCTTCGCTCTGTAACTCCATGATTAATATTGTGGGTTTTCAGGCACGTCAGCTAAGTCCACATTCAACGGCTTAACAAAGAGTTTTTTTTGTTTACTTTTTTTACTGTATACCTAAACCTCTCACCAAATGCCTGAAGGAGTTTCGCCGACTCTGCAGCATCTTCAGATGTAACACAGAAGAGTAGCTTCACAGCAGCATCAACCAATTCTCCTTCTGAATTAAAGTTCAGCTTTTTAGTTTGCGCGCAAAACTTAGATTTGAACATATAAATGACAAATTTCAATGAAGTAAAGTGCGCTCACTTTACACATTAATACCAACATTAACCTGAGGTTACTAGGATCAGAACAGCACTGAAGTTTACTTTGTGTTCGTTTGATTTGCTCTAGAGTTTATGAGACATATATTTAAAGTTACAGTGTGTAGAATTTAGTGATATCGAGTGTTGAAGTTACATGTTGCAGCTGAACACCCCTCACCTCACCCTCCACTTCCAAACTGTCATAAAAACTCGAGTTTAGTTTGTCCAGTCCGGACTAATGTTAAAAATATGGCGGCCTCCGTACAGAGGACCCCCTCCATGTAAATGTAAAGTATTTAAATATTAATGGCCTTTTCTAGGGTAAAGCAAAATACAGTTTGTACAATTTAGATGAAACAAACTAGTGAAAACATCATGAGTATTATTCTACATTAAATGTCTGCCAATAGTTCCCTTTCACCTAAATCTTACAAACTGGACCTTTAAACACATTGAAAAAAGTCCAACATTTGCGTGCACGCAGTTCAAATGGGACACACACAACACGAGATGAGATCCGGATTCATATGATTCAGGGTGCTCCCTGCTGACTGATATCAGGTCACAGGATGAACAAAATACATATGTAGCTGTTAAATGTAATCTCTGACAAGCATCATCATAGTTATCATCTGACACTAAGCACTCAAAAAGAAGCATTTCCAGCCATTGCATTTTAGGGATTAGTGTGATAGTAATAATTTAGTATGGCCCATGAGGGATGTCAGAAAAACTGAACTGGCTCTTGACAATTTAAAAGGAGCCCAACCCTGACTGAAAAACAGTACTCTCAAATTACCAGGAAGTTTTAGAGCCTATTTTTGTATTTTATATATTTTTGTAATAAATAACCTCTCCAGCTAGAGGTACCTCTTGTAAATGCAGTAGTATTGATTTTTGACCAAATATGATGTGGCCTACAACCAACACCAGTAACACTTCTCACTTGACTGTTACTTAAGAAACTTATGTTTAAATGGTGTTGAACCACATGAGCACACACAAAGCAATATGTAAGTATTTGGACAGTAACACATTATTTGTTCGGCTGACTCTGTACTCCTGCACAATGGAGCTTATCATTTATCACAGCTGTAGCCATACTGCTGCAACCTGGGTTCAAATCCGCCCCAGTCCTGATATCAACTCCCTCTCCCTGCAGTTTTTAAAATAAATAGAAGCACAAGAGCCAAGACACTCCCTCTCTCTCTGACCATCAGCCGCACCAGGAATCCAAACCATGTCGGTGGCCGTTAAAACATCCATAAAGATTTTATTGTAGAGGAACACCCCCCTGGTAAAAATGATCATATCGCTTACAGAGTAAATGTAAAGGGAAAAAATGACTGTGTGATGTAGTAACGTCGAGTTGGAATTTGTAGCCTTGTCATTGTCCTTCTAGTTAATTTAAAATGTAATCAACTGAGTAGAGTCAACAAAACAGAGGATATGTTACAGTACGACTGTTTATCATCTGCACCAGGGGTGGATTAACTTTTTCTTATCAAGGCCATTTCAATTTTATAATATTGTTATCCGTATCCCTAACAGAGATGCAAATTTCAGTGCATGTTTTAAGACAGCTCTGTGATATGTATTTTAGGTTTTCAGGCACATCAGCTGATTTCACTTGAAATTGTGAACAAATGAACAAAGATGTTCGTCCGTTCCTTTAGTTTTCTTTCCTGGAACCTCTCACTAAATGCCTGAAGGAGTTTTGCACACACTGCAGCATCTTCAGATGTAACACAGAAGAGTAGCTTCACAGCAGCAGCAACCAATTCTCCTGAATTAAAGTTCAGCTTTTTAGATTGCTCGCAAAACTTACATTTGAACATATAAATGACTAATTTCAATGAAGTAACCCTAGCCAACTTCAAAATTCATGTTCATTCATTCAGCATGTCCTCCCTCCTTACTCCCCCGCTGACCTCCGCTCACTTTACACATTAACACCAACATTAAGTTGCTTAATAGGATCAGAACAGCTTGTTCAGATGTCACAGTAAACACAGGGTGTTTGCACACAATGCACATATTAACTTAGTAAGCAGATCATCCAAGAGCAATACATTCTACTAATTCTGAAATAGGCTTCAGGTTCTTGGCTCACTCAGCACACAGCTTGCCTGAATGTGCGGAAGCAGCTTATTGGATACAGTAAAGTAAAAGTAAAGTGTGTTTTTCCTTGAACTCTTAACATTCAGTTGCATGCTCACAGCCGTACTGATGTTTGAGATTGGCCTTTTTAATTATTGCAGTTTATATTTAAAAAAAAATAAATAATTGTAATTAGGAAAGGGCAACATTCTGCTGCTACATTTATTTTCTTGCGGAACAAATACTTCCGGCAATAACACATTAACAGCTATGTTTCCTTCATCCAGACCACCCTGAAGGACATGTTACTACTATTTTAAGTTTTTTTCTTAGGAAAAAATAATAGCTTTAAAAAGACGGGTGTCATTAAGGAGGTTGGCAGCAGGGGTTTTATTGCAACATCCACCATCAAGTTGACCGAGGATGACACCCAGGTCAGACTGTGGTGGGCCTGTCTTAGAAGAAAGCTGCTCCTACTACAGTAATTAAGGACTTTATGAACACTGAAGCAAGTACACAACCCCCTAAATTGTAATGCTTCATTTTACATGGCATCAGCAACTAACAAGCAAGTTATAGCAGAGGTGAAGCAGTCAAGCAGACATTCTTAGAGAAAAGTGCTGATTACTGACTGTGTCTGCGTAATTACACAGCACATGACTTCCTGAAGACCAGTTCGGGATCATCAGGGTCGTGTGCTGCTGCTGCTGCTGCTGCTGCTGCTGCCTCGGAGAGAGGTACAGTTAAAGTGAGTGAGGATTTTGGCATTAAGTAGAAAGGTACTAGTTTAGTTCTCACACACATTTGTATGTATATCTTTGTGAGGACACTTGTCATAATGCATTCCCCAGCTGCTTACCCGACTATCACAATTGAATGCCTAAGCTCAAGCCTTGACCTAACCTTATTCAATCCAAAACCATAAAACCAAGGCTTAACTTTCAAACTGCTCTTTAAATGTGTAGTTTGGTAAACAAGCTACTAAGTGACACCCCTACATTTATATTTGATCAAACGACTGTGTCATTTATTAGGATTATCCATGGGGTTGATGCACCTAATCTCCATAACAACCTACATTGTGACATTAAAAAATAAGCAGGACAAGACAAGAAAACACACACACACAGTTATTAACTATCAGGACCTTAAATACACTGTCATTCATTGTGGCCTAACAAAAACCTCATAACCCTAAACATGACCAATTCATTACCCAGCTCTAACCGTAAACTAACCACAGTTCACATTTAACTTTAACCAGGACTTTAGAAATGAAGTGTTGCCTCCTTAAGACCATAGTTTGGTCTCTGTGAGGTCAACTGATCCTGGCAAGGTCAGTGTTAGCACTGGAAATGGCCCCTAAGAGGTCTCACACACACACACACACACACACACACACACACACACACACACACACACACACACACACACCTGCTGTCAGGCGATAACAGGCTGCACATGGGGGGGAAAGTATCCTCCAGTTGTTGTGATCAAACAATCAAACCATTACTACTGAATGGAATCTACACTGGGACGTGTGCTCGTAATCAGCCATTACATTCAACAGTAACTTTCTACAGTCTCCCACAGCTAACAGAATGAGTCAGCCGGACTTACCAGCTTCTCACTGGTTAACCTGTGCCCTGAATGTTAACAGCCCACCAGCCTTTAATGGCGATCACTGAAAGCTCCGAGCAGCTAGAGGCGACACATAATGACATTTAAGAACCCTGCAGTAACATAAGGAGCTACACGACATTGTCCTTAGGTGACCACAGCTGCAAACAGCTGCAGGCTGGTATCCAGGCCTGCGCTCCTCCACACCCCAGCGGACCCTGACTGCTCCCCCTCACCTTGATCAGATCCAGGGGGTGCGTGCAGCAGGCGGCCCCGCACGACGCCAGTCCCCCGAAGTACCACCGCGACATGCGCTTCTCCGTCATCGTGCTCGTCCTCTGCTGCGAGCTCTATGCAGCGGCGACTTCCTTCCTCGCAGCCCCGAGCCTCGACTCGCCTCGCCTCGCCTCGCTGCCCGGCCTGTGCTGGACCTTGATGGGGCTCCAGCTGTCAGTGACCCGCGGTGGTTCAATCTTCACACGCGACCGACAGGAGAGTGCACCGCTGCCCCGAGGACTTTGAGCTCCAGTGGCATCGCGCGTGCACACGCCACATGATGCGCGTCTCTGCACGTGAAATGTGTGTGCCTGTGTGTGTGCGCGCCTGTTTGTGTGTGTGTGCGCGCGCACTGTCTGCCTGCCGTGTCGGAGCCACCGCGCGCAATAGGAAGCAGCTGTAGACACAAGAGAGGAGCGCAGCCAATTGCCACCGTGGACGTTGGAGCTGCCTACTCGCCCCCGGGCCCCGACGATCCAAAGGTTGTCGGTGGGTGAGAGGACGCTGCGCTAACTCGCATACCCCACTCTCACCACTGTCAGGCGGATTCTTAAAGACACACATGCCCTCCTCTCTGCTGCAGACCGACGGACATGGCTCCTGTCTCTTTAAGAGGAGACTGCTCCACATTCCAAAGCGCGCAGAAACGTCACCATTAAAAAAACCACACACACATGTTGAGAGAAAATGATCTGTGACAAGAACATGTTCCGTTTGGATGTTACAGTTAAAGGTCCAGTGTGTAAGATTTAGGTGAAAGGGAACTATTGGCAGACATTTAATGTAGAATAATCCTCATGGTGTTTCCACAAGTCCATTTAATCTAAACTGTATGAATTGTAGTTTTCTGTGCTCCAGAAAAGACCCTTTATATTTAAATACTTTATATTTACATCGAGGGGACCCTCTCTACAGAGGCCGCCATGTTTTTGACATTAGTCCAGACTGGACAAACTAAACACCTTTTGAATTTTTATGACAACTGAAGCTACCACAGGTTCCTTTTCATGTTTGGAAGGAGAGGGTGAGGTGAGGGGTGTTCAGCTGCAACATGCAACTTCAACACTAGATATCACTAAATTCTACACAATGTACCTTTAAGTGAGATCTCATAAGAAGCATTCAAATAACCAACAAGCAGCTGTAGAGATGTTTCAAGGTAACAATGCTGCTGTCACTGAACGGGGTGAAGTTAAAACCCCAGCACAAAAGTGAAATCTGCAAAACAGACAAGTGTTTTTGTATTAATTTTTCTGAATGTAAATACAGGTGGCTCAGTTCATGGATGGCACCTCAACTCATAGGCCACTGGGTGGAGTGGGTGGCTGTTACAGTTCATTAGAGGTGTTTGCAGACAGGAGACAGTTCATGTTAACACTTCATGTAAATAAGACAGAACCGTGTACAGTGTTGATTTAAATGTGATAATATATTGCATTAAATACTATCTGATGTAGGATGAATGACATGTTTCTAAAATAAAATCACATATTTAGTTAAGTCAGTTTTTTCTGCTGTATCTTTATTTCATTGTTTACTCATCAAATAGTCTAATTGAAATTGCAGTTCAGATTGCTTGGTAATAAATATGGTGTCTCATTATATGGGAAAGATAAGTTCAACTAAACAAAATGTGTAGTTTTTGAATTACAAAGGTCTCAAACAGCAACGTTACAAGTTCCCGTCCAACACAGTGGAATGTTTGGCACAGTCCAAAGAGCCTCAGGTCTTCTTGTCCTGCGCCCGTTAGGACGACTGAATCAGTTTTTTCTGTTTTGGACAGTACAGTAGGAAGACAAGACTGCATGGAGACACCAATATCAATGGCACCATGTTATGCCAGTTTCTGATAAATGGTTTTATTTATAAGTATAATGTATGTCTCCTATAAATAGTGTAATGTCATACCAGACATGCAGGTTTTTTATTTCCCACACCTCACACATAACTGAGACTCATGGACTTGTGCTGGCACGTAGAAGCAGTTTTACACTTGTCTTATTCACAGATGCAAACATGCTACTTTGGTGGAGCAGCTACAATAGAGCTGGGTAATCAACAAAATAAGATGTGCTTTTGCACGTAACATGAGGCAACACACAGGGCTCTGAGGGGGACAGATCAGATATGTGCAGATGAAAAAAGGCCAAATTATTTCCTAGGTTAAATCACACTGACACCCTCAAGCAAAAATGAAACTACAGCCATCAAATGACATCAAATGCAAAGGAGTTGACAAAAGTTGTTTGCTTTATTGCAAAGTGTTTACATTATCTTTCCACCCTTTGTTACCTAAATGATTACCTTGTCAACAGGATAACACTAAAACAGCTGCACTGATTTCCACGATACTTGGTGGAAGGATAGGACCAAAAAAGAACCCCTTTTAATTTTGAAGTGCATTTGGACAAGGGGCAGATCCATTTTTCTTAACCGTTCTTTAACATTGCAGTATGATGTTTTTTTGCCATTTTTATTCATTTCCATGGTAATAATGAATGGATCTTGATTTTAAATATTTGAAGAATTGATATCTATGTGCTCTGCATGTGACATGTCTTTCCATTAGAGGGAGTGCATGTAGTTGTGTAGTGTCTGCTGCCCCCAAGAGCAATTTGTCTGCAGTCACAACACAAAGTGGTTTGGAATCAGATTATAGGATTTGTCCATTAAAATACAATTCTAGTTGTCTTGCACCCAAATAAGTGTCTTTTTTGATGTAATTGTTTTTTCTCATTCCTCTGAGACAGTAACATGTTATTTTGTTGCAACCACACTTGTAGCCTATAGGATTATTTACCCTTTTTGTGTTTTTGTATATATTTGTTATGATATTTACTATGTGTATTTTTTATTGCTTGTAACTGTTGTGACATTATCACATGAAAGTATTTAAGATGGCAACTTTATATCTTTTAGAAGTCTGAGGAAGAGCCTTATGCTTAAAACGTCGCCACAGTAATACATATTTTAAAAGGAGCTTCTAGGTGTGGAGATTTTTCCTATGTTTTGGAAACCAAGGTTATAGTGTCACAAAAATAGACTGGATCAAAGTGAAACATCTGTCTGGTAACAAACAGACAAGTGGTAGAGAAAAGACAGAACACAGGAGCAGATCCAGGAGCAGGGCCAAGAGGGGGCACAACAATTTAAATCTGATTTGCTCCTGAAGTACCCCTGTTCTTTCACTAGTCTTTTTTCAGATACACTATTCACCCGCTAACAATAACTATGAAAATGTACATATGCAGGGATGATACATTCAGAATGTAAATACTGAACATTTTAGCATAAGAAACTCACTTTCAATGTTTTAAAGAAATCCGGTTGTAGGAGAAAGCAAACACATGTATTTATTGTGCAGAAGTAATAACATACAAAAAAATTACTGACAAAAAGCAAAATGGAAAATGCAAAATCAAATTGTTCAAAGAATAATGGTAAAAAGCTAAATCAAACATTATTTTATAATGATAATAGTAATTATTATTATTATTGTTGTTATTATTATTAGAAAAGTGACAATCAACACCAGATGAGCAACTCTCTCTTCTCTCGTTTTAAATTAACAAAATGACCACTACTTGACATTGTAATGGATAAAAATACACAGCATATCACATAAATATAAATAATTATTTTCCAGTCAAATAAAAGTATTAAAATCTAGGCTGTAGGAGTGTTTAAACTAATCAACAGGGCTAGAAGAAAAACAACAACACTGTAAACAAGAATAAACAAAAAAGATAGAGGTGAAATATAAGAGTACATTTGCCCTGAAATACTAAAAAGTGCATAACAAGTAAATAACCAAGTATCACTTTGCCTGCCCACTCATTTTCAGAGAAAACACCAGCACACACAAACGTACTATGTACACTGGCCTTCTGTACACAAACCACCCACACACACACACACACACACACACAAACACAAGCAGAGGCAGAGTGGAATTTAAGAAACGTAAGTCACACACATTAGTAATTATCTAAATATCTACAAAACTCCCACACTGACACAAAGCCTTGAATTAATGTTTATACTATTACAAACCTGTTGCTATGAAGTTAACCATGTGAAAAGTGTCATGAAATACAAAGTACAACACACAAACAAAACACAATACAGGCTCATAATCCTCTAATATGTTGTGTTGTTGCACTTTACAGAAGTTTACCTGATGAGGTTGTGACCTCTGAGTTTGTTCATACCCCACATGTCCATTAAAAGGATCTCATACAAAAGATTTTTCCTGTTGCTTCCCTTCTCCTGCTGACCCAGGTCGTGGGGTGTCCTTCGTCGCTCCTCCAAACACAGGCAGTACCCTTCCTCCTGGAGGAGAAGACCCAACGTGCAGCAGCGAGCCTCCAACCAGGAGCAGCAGACTGGCCCCCCAGCCAAGGTACAGCGCCGGTCCCAGCTCTCTCTTTAGGGGTGCTGCAACGTTTGGGTCATAGAAGTCCCTGATGATGGTGTAGGCCGTCCAACAGATGGGTATCAAGTAGGCAAGGCCAGCCACGAGGAAGAGCACCCCTGCTAACCTGGCCAGCCGAGCCTTGGAGGCCTGGTTGGCATCGCCCATGCAATGAGTGCACTTGGCCCCTGCGACCCCAAGTGTGAGGGCCAGAAGGCAGAGGAGCAGGGAGAGGACGGTGAGACCTCGGGCGGCTTGGCCGGACGTGGGCAGCGCCAGGGTGGAGTCATAGGTCTTGCACTGGATCTGGCCTGTGGTCTGAGACAGGCAGTTCATCCACAGTCCCTCCCACAATACCTGGGCGATCACCAGCTCTCCGCCCACGAAGGCAGACACACGCCACAGTGGAGCGGCGCACACCAACGCCCCGCACACCCAACCCAGCACGGTCAAAATCAATCCGAGCAGCTGGAGACCTGTTGATGCCATGATCAGTGAAGACACTTCAGTAGAAAATCCAGATGCTTGTCTTGTCTTTTGTCTGGTCTGAGGAATTTCCTGAGAGTTGAGTGACTCATTCACTGAGATGTTCAGAGAAAGGGGGTTTTTGAGATGGATGCTCTTCTCCTCCTCAGTATCCTTCTCTGTTAAACACCTGTAAGGATGACATTGTTTTCAGCTTATTCATTTCATGAGTAATAGTTCAAATTATTTAAAAATGTATTAAACATATAATTGTGCAATTCAACTGTAAGATATATAAATAATCGGCATTAAACCTGGTCCAGGTGTGGCAGTTTTCATTTCCAATAAATTCCACATTTTGAGCAAAACTTGAGAAAACTTACTTTTCAACCAGACGTCCACTGATTGTCGGAGTGTCGCTGATACTGAGTTTCTTGGTGGTACAGTCGTGTGWTGCGAATTAGTTGTTGGCGTTCTTCTGTTATGACTGGGCAGCTTGTCTCTCTGGATGTCATACGCAGGGGTGTGGGAGGGCAGCACTGAGTGATACTGCATACTAAATACATACACACACACACACACACATAGATAGTTATGCAAAAAATGACAACACAATGACACTTTGTTTCAGAAATTGTTGATGTGGTCATGATGTTGTTTGTTGGTGTTGGATTTGTCAGACTGAGGCAAAGGATGAAACCAAAGAGGATAAGGGGAAAGTTGATTGGAGGCATATAGATATTGACTATACTCACTATTTTGACCATAGTGTATATAAAGATGCACGATGCATCACCACTTCCTCCCACCATGAAGAAATGAAGCCAAAATATCCTGGATAAGAACCACAGTCTATGATAAGAACGCTGCCATCTTGTGCAGTAGTGATCAGAGGGTGTAGTGAATCAGTCTCAGGACACAGCTGTCAATCAGGATGTTTCACCTCATTTTATAACATCAATTAAAACTAAATCTACCTGAAGATTTTACAGTTGGATAAACATCAATGTGATAAGAACTACATACAATCTACAACCATCTTGGAGAAATAATTATTTAACATGCACTATTTAGTTTGGTCTATCCATGTCCTATTGACTAACATAGGGGTGGGAGTTGTGACCTGTGCTGCAGCCAGCCACCAGGGGATGATCAAGATACGTTGACTTCTCTTTTGGGGAAACATGTGAGGCAGAAGGTCTGTGTATGTCACAGAATGCTTGGTTATATTATAAATGAAGGTTTTCATACAAAAATCTGTGTTATTTTAAAGTTGATAATGGAGTTATATGTTCTATAATACTGTATTTAAGATGAACTTCTCAGTGCAGTATTTTTTTAACTGTTAATTTACTTGACGATGGTCCCCTTTGGTGTCCCCTCCAGGAATTGGCCTTGATGAATTTCTCTGTTTATTGCCCCAGTGTTGTGTCTCAGGCTTGTTTTTCCTGCCAACTCAACTTCATATTGTTGGGCTTCCTGCGTAACTTCCTTTCTCACTTGGTGACACAAACTGCAGCTGGTCAGCAATGTCATGGCACTGGTTTCAATTTATTATCTAAAAGGCTCAGTAGAGGTCATACCTCCACCAAGGCCCAACAGTCCCCTTATGAAACCACATTTAAATTGACTAGATCCGGATCCAAGAAAAGCTTGCTGGGAAAATTATTGAACCCAATCTCACAATGTTTAAGAGAGTCAAAAGAATTTAATTCATATATTTAATTTCTTTACTATCTTTTTGTTTAATTTATTCTCAATTATTTCATTTCAATAAAAAAGATTCAACCCCCTGATCTGGATCCAGTCCAAAGTTAGTTCTTCCCTGACCCATACCCCATCCTTCCACCAAGTTCCATGGTAATCAGTTGTGTTGTGGGTGAAAACATAAAAGCTTTGTGAAGGTCATAATTAGAGTTTCATGTTTGTGGCTATTTGGGCTCTTTCTGTTTCTAACAAGCTTTTCCAGCTTGCCTGCACTTTTGCCTTTGTGAAAATATCACTAAAATACTACTTTTTGAGTCTCCTGCTTTAACACGTGATAGGTTCACATCCAAGCCAATTTGGTCAATGAGTTGCCAACAGCTTTTTTATAAGTTCTGGTTTCGTTTCCTGAGAAAGGGTGGTGGTGCAAGGAAAGAAAGAGGGGGAGGAGTAACTGGCACACGCAAGAACTGCACAGCTGAGGAAAGCACAGACAGCTTTTGTGACTCAAATATAGTTTTGACCGTCTTTCCTCCACAACAAGATGTCTTTAAGCAAAACCGAAGGTGAGCTTACTTTTTTTGACTCATATACGCAGGTCTAATCCTGTGAGCTGACCCTAAATCCATTATTTCCAAACTCTTTCTCCAGATGTCAGCGACCTGAGAATTGTTCTGCTGGGGAAGACTGGATCAGGAAAGAGCTCCACAGGGAACACCATCCTGGGACTTAACAAGTTTGAGACAAAGGACATCTCTCTGTCATCTGTGACAGCTCATTGCAAAAGAGAAACAGGGCAATTTGATAACAGAGCTGTGAGTGTTATTGACACCCCCGGGGTCTTTGATACATCGATGACAGAGCTCCAGCTGAAAAGTGAAATAGAGAACTGTATCCTGCTGTCTCTCCCAGGACCCCATATCTTCCTGCTAGTGATCAGATTGGATGCCCGGTTCACAGAGGAAGAGAAGAGTGCAGTGAAATGGATCAAGGGCCACTTTGGTGAGGAAGCCAACAAGTATACAATGGTGCTTTTCACTAGGGGTGATGCTCTCGAAGGAAAGACAGTTGAGAGCGTTTTAGCCGAAAGTCCAGAACTCAAGGAGCTCATCAGTGACTGCAAAGCTGGCTACACGGTGTTCGACAACAAAGCCATGAAAAATCGCACTCAGGTGGCTGATCTCTTTGAAAACATAGACAGGACAGTGCAATTAAATGGAAACTATTACACCAGCAGAATCTACGAAGAGGTGCAGAAAAAGAGGAGAAAGGACGAGTTGTGGAACACGTGCGGAAATGCCATGAACGCTGTCGGCAGTCACCTGCTGACGGCAGCAGCAGTCTCAGCCGTGCCTGTAGTTGGTGGGGCTGTAGCAGCAGCAGAGGAACTTGTGGTTCCAGCATGGTCACTTTTAATGCTCGCAGGTTCGGGGGCTGCTAAATTCATTGGGGGCTGGCTCAAACCTAAACCTAAATAACTATTGTAACTTTTCTGTGTGATTTTGAAATATCAAATAAAGTTTAAAAATGTGTGGTCCGGTTTGGTTCATGTTAAAATCACATCATGAAAGAAGAATGTCCCAATGAAGCTGCCAGGGCTGAAAAACCAAAACGACTGCAGTAGGTGCATCATGTGGAACAACCATGTTAAGTGCCTTTGAGTGCCTTTTAAAAGCTCAGTACAAATAAAATGTATTGTTATTACCATTGATGTATTTGTTTTGATTTTCAAACCATGGGCATGTGTGGTTCCTGCTGGCCCGGGCGAACCGGGCAGCTGCCCAGGGTGGCATTTTTTCATGTCACGTGGGGGGCGGCACAAGCACTTAGAAAAAAACCAAGCCAAAGTCTCCAGATGTTCACAGTTTGTCCTTTTACTAAAGCAAAACAGGCTGTTTAACTTTTTTCAAAGCATATTTTAAGTTATAACATATTTATTAAATTATTACTCCTGTATCATGAAAAGTAATCTTCAGTGTTGCGTTGAATTGCAGCATCGACTGTTCACAGCTCCCTTACTGGAACTCATCACTTTCATGTGTGCTTCCGCGCAGGCTTAAAAAAAGGTCGGTGGTAATAGTCTGTGTGAGTCAGTCCAACGCTACCTGAGCCAAATGTTACGTTGGATACAACAGTGCCAGAGAGTCCATGTGTCTCATCCTTTGGGCCAGCCTATGGCCAGTAACAAAATGATTAGTGTTTCACTCTGCCAAAATTAACTAATGAAAGAATGAAATAGAATAAACACTTAAAAAATAAATAAAGTTTTGCTCTATGTTCCTATATAAAAAAGACATAGAGTGACCCACAGTTATGCGTTTTAAGGCCTTTCTTGGCTGTAGCTGTGAAGCAGTGGCAGTGTAATGAGGGGCTTATCTGTTGAGAATGCTTCTTCACTGAACGGTCAGCGGATGTTTACCATTGTCTCATTTCCTTCAGGGAAATGAGCTCATGCTGCTCCTTATAATAAACATGAGGCAAACAGCAGCACATCATCAGTTAAATATGTGTGCAGTTTAGTAGTTTCATTGAGAAATAATCACATACTTTGTGAGAAAAAATGTGTTTACAAAATCCATGAGACTATATCAGTGTTTTCTAACATTATTTATTAATGACTCAACTGCCTCTCACAAGCCCTGAAGAAATGTGTACAAGTACAACTAGGGATGCAGGTTTCATTAAGAAACTCCAAACAGTAAAAGAGTGTAAAGAAAACAAAGAAAGAAGAAACAAGTGTTGGGTTTCATACCATTTGTTTACTGTCAGCACTAACTTCACATGGCTCTGATATTCTTATGTGTCAAAACTTAATGCAGAAAAGGCCAAAACAAAATCATTCAGGGACATTCTCAACAGGAAAAAGTTGTGTGTCAACACTACAGCTACATCCATACTAAAACAATTTTATTTAAAAACAGCAATTTCAAATTACAACAATCTCTGACAGAATTTTGGCTTCATATCAGTTTTAATCCCTGTTCATAGTTACATGCCTGAAAATGAAAATCCTGTGACCACTCACATACACTGACGTGCACATGCTGGTGTAAACAGATTGCTTGAACAATAGCTCATCTTCTACACATGTAAGCAGTTGTAGCATTGTAACTGAATTTCACAACAGCAAAGACAAGAGCGTCAGCAACACTTTTAATTTACTGTCCATCTTAAATTCTGGTAGCCGAGGCTAACTGCGGTTGATTTTATCCGGAAGGGTGTCATGTGATATGACCCTGACAAATCAGCAAAGGCTATGCTATGCTTTGACTGAAAAAACTAAATCAGCAAGTGCTTGTGAGTGTCGAAGTCATCATTTCCAAACTTCTCAGTTTTAGCAGCTTTAAAACTGCGCAGTAGTGTGGAGTTTGTTTCAAACTAAAACATAGTTGTGTGGATGTAGAACAAAACTATTATTCCGTGTCACATACTGCAGACAGATGAATGAGTCCTTGTTGCTATAGCCTCCCCTAAGTTATATTGGAGAAGATGTTTTTGATTTGCATCTTATGCCCTTCCATATGCATAGGGCAGCCAAACCACACAACACCCCCAGAACAAGCACAGGACCTCCCAGAGCCAGAGCCACGGTGGTGTTAGCACTAACTGCTATAACCATGCCGGCTAACAACAATATGATCGCCGCGGCTGAAGCCACACGTATGTTCTTCTTTTTGACCGTTTCCTCTTTTTGTCTCTCTTCCTGTTTCTTCTCCCTCTCCTCATCCCACCTTTTCCTTTCCTCCTCTTTCTTCACCTCCTCTTCCTGTATCTTCCGCTCCTCCTCTTCTCTCAGCTTCCTCTGGGCCTTTTCATACATCTCATTAGTGTAGTGTTTCCCGCCGTTGTCCTGTATCATTTCCTTGATCATGGTGATCAACTCTGTGACCTGTACGCGGTCGTCTGCATCATTGTTGTTGAAGGCGTGGTATCTGCGTCCAAATGTAATCGAGAGTCTCCGTAGCTCCTTGCACTCCTTCAGAGCATTGTCGGCCTTAGCCTGGTCTTTACATGTAAACAGCATGATAGTGTACATAGAGGCGTCATCTCCAAAGTTATTCTGGATCCACTTCACAGCATTTCTTTCCTCCTCGGTGAACCTCACACCAAGCCTGATCACCAGCAGGAAGGCGTGAGGGCCGGGCACAGACATCTTGACACATTCCTCTATTCTGGTTTTCAACTCTTCCTCTGTGATGCCTGTATCAAACAGACCGGGAGTGTCAATCACCTGGACCACAGTCCCGTCCACCTCCCCGCTCTGGGTCTCACAGTGTTTAGTCACAGACATGGGGCTCGGGTCCTCTTTGAAGGCAGCTCTCCCGAGGATGGTGTTTCCGGTTGCACTCTTCCCTGATCCGGTCTTGCCCACTAGGACGATCCTCAAGCCTCCAGACAAATCTGAAGCTGTAACAACAGAAGCTAAACACATAAGGGCCCATTGTTAAACTTGCTGTGTCCCAATTCAGGGACCACCTGCTTACGAGGCAGCATTTGAAGTATGATTGCTTCACAGCAATGTGACTTGGCTGTCCCATTTCGAAGGCTCCTTTTAACGTGACAGACAAATGTATAATTTTATCCCTGAGAAACGAAGGCTCAAACTTGTGGATCCTTCTTGGGTCTACCAATCCCATGATCCATTGTGCTTCAGTGAGGATCCGTTTTAAGAGATAATGATGAAAAGACGTATCATCTTTACACTTTTAAATGTACCAGGTTCAACTGAACAGCTAACGGTTCACATGTTAAAAAAGTGGTGTCCAAACTTTCTTAGTGTGTCCAGCTGCAGGTCTGTTGGCAGCAGCAGTAAGGGCGGGACAAGCTGGTGACACAGATCACAGAAATCCTCTATAGACCAGACTCAATTCAGTTCAGCCTACTTGATCTTCAAGTATCCATCATTTCTGTGATTATTTTATTTTATTTTAAAATAGATTGTGCGCATTATCAAATAAGTGCATCGCGTTGGCTAGACCTTAAAGATATACACGGTGTGTTTTATGGAGAAACACAAAATGTCAAACATTAATTGAGGAAGATGGGCAACTGGAACCAGAATCTGTTTCCAAACCAGTTTTTGATACTAAGCACTGTATGTTTTCAGTTTATTAATAACTTGAGGACACTGGTAACTGCACTACACTCCTTATAAAATGCAAAAATGTATAAATAATTACATGCTGTGCAGATTTTTTATTAGTCACTAACATGCCATCTAAACACCTCAAAGAATCTTGTAATACTATAGAGAAGAATAAACCCATGGACATTATACTGATGAGGAAACTTTAATAAAGCCATTAATTTCAATGCCATTAATATCAATGAAGCCTTATAAAAACATGTTGTTATAGAAAGTGGTCAACAGATGTATGACAGTATGTGCATTTACTGAGATTTCATGAGGAGAGACAATGAATGAGCTTACCGTCAAAGTTATTGAGACCACACCCATCAGACCAAGGTACATATTTCTGCTTCTTTTCCCGCAGTGGTATTTCTGCCAAATGAAATTACACAGATGAGACACAACAATTATTCCCAATTACTATTATCAATGACTAGATTTTGTTCTGCTTCTCTTTTATGCCTCTTTTCAGTATTACAGAAAACATTACATCTCATAATAATCAGAGGATGGACGAAGTGTTATTTTTTAAACATTAGATTAGATAGGTTGTTTTACCTTCAGCCATTACTTTGGATCAATCCCTTCCCGTTCCCAGGTGGTCAACTGTGCTGCTCCAGGCTGCTGTTGTGGACTCAGACCAGCTCTGCCGCTCCACTTTCTGGGAAACTTCTGGAGCTGGCCGGTACTCAGGGGGCTTCCTATTTCCTTGTATTGTCTTTAGTTTACATCTGAAATGTGCATCCCCAGAGGGACTGCCGGCAGCTCTCTAAATATGCTGCATGTGTTGGTCCATGAATGGCTGTTATATTTTAAAAAGTGCAGCTTGAGAACAGCATTCAAGCTCTTTTACTGATAAATATAATGATGGGTCACTATAAACACATAATGAAGCCAGGTTGTTGATAAGGGACAGAAACAAGAAAACCTCTAGAGTACATCCCATCCCCCCATTGTTGATGTCTCCTCCCATAAAAGCCAAAATGTTTCGACTCCATTTGCCCGACCTGAATACAACCTTTTCACTTCCACCCATTAAATATCTTTAAATATCCACATCAAATAAATCTTTAAGGTTCCAGCTAACTCAATAAAAAAAAATGGATACGCTTGTAATAGGTGGATTTTCTGCCCTGAATAATATAGTTATATTTTTATAAAGAAATATTTAAAAAATTTAAACACAGATACTTCTAACATGGTTGATGTTTGGTGTTCTGAGAACTGATGTTTCCCTAAATTCCAATAACAGATTTGATGTTTCTGTAAGTCAGAAAATACTTTCAGTTTCAGGTTGAGCCATCACATTTTGCCTCTTCTGAATCTTCCTCATCACATGTCCCATGCACAATTAAGTACACATATCCATAGTACAACCACAAACCAGCATCCATGTGCTCCACTTATTGACATTAGAAGACATGAGGAGTAATATGCGCCAATACCACAAAATACAATGTCATTAATTTCCGCCTCCTCTCTGATCCTCTCGTCCTGTTCCTGTTTTCTTTGCTCTTGCTCTTTTTCCTCACCTCGATAACTCTTCAGGGCTCACTATTACGTCTCACAAATGTACAGATTTCCTACATTGAACCTCATCATTTGATCAATCCTATTTAAAAGTCAAGCTGCGTTCTGCATTTTCTCTTTAAGGTTGTTAGAGACATTGTCTATTTCAAAATGACTACATGTCTCCAATCATGTTTTTTTCATCCTTCTTTCCTCAGCTGAACTTTCTGCTGTTGCACCCCCACAAACTCAGACACCAGATCAGGATATAAACCATTTGGCCTGTTCTTATCAGGAGAACTTGCAGAAAAGGACAAAGATTCAATCTCTGGGCCTGTGGTCTGAGTTACAGCACATACTCAAGCTATGTGTTCCACATACAGATGGACAGTAAGAGATTTCTGGAATTGTTAAAAAGATAGATAGATCCACCCTAAATGAACATATTCTGTATGTAAATTGTGTTGTAAAGTTCTGTATGTTGCTTTTAAGTAAAAACCTCAATTAATTTCATCTTCATTGATTTATTTTAGGGTTTTAATTCACTCTTGAATGCAACAGTGTGACAGCTTTGATTATTAATATGCTCTCAGGGTATTATTACATACTGTATTATACTAATATTATATACACTTCCTCTAAACTATTTTTTACAAGCGAATGATGTGTAGCTATATTTCAGTTTAACCTGCCTGTCATTTGAAACTCATTAAACAGTTCAGTATCATTGACAGGGAAAGCACAATTAAGCACCAAGGACAGAAAAATTATGCAATCTGTTTGGCTGCCTGTGAATGATTCACAGCCAGCCACAAGAAGGCGAATGAGCATATTTCCCCAAAATTGTTGAACTATCCCTTTAATAAATAAAACTAATTAAAATTGTGACAAATTGAATATTTTAATGTTGGAATAAGGTCTATACCATTTAAACAACAATAGTCGGTTAGAACTGGACTCACAATCCTTGGCTGTGAGTCTGTTTTTGGCTGTTGCAGAATTAACATTTTCATGCAGCCGCCTCAGAGTCATATCAGCCTAACAAACAGACAAACATCTTTCCAATTAATTCAGAATAACAGTTCAGTTTCAGGCAGTCTGATGTGAAGTAATATGTCTATTTCCAAATACATGCTATGCAGCTACTACACGTCTTCAGGCGTCTATGTCTGAATTCACCAAAATGTTGGTGCTCTGACTTGGTTTTTTTACATGTTAACCAATGAATTTTACAGAATTAGAATCAATGGCTGGTGCAGTATTTTTAAGTAATTTTAAATAATGGTTTAAACTCATAGAATATATTATTATCAGCTTTCTACAGAATAGACAGGGGACAGGAGATGGGGAACAACATGCAACAAAGATCTCTGCCTGGATCTGAAACTTTATCTTTACAAGTGAAGACTGCTTTACTCCCAAGTGTGTGATGGCACTTGAGCACAAATACTGGATAGTATTTTTAATAAAATTACAATAATAGAAAATACTCCATTGAGGATGATTTGCTTGGGTGTCCAAAATCCACCATGTGCCACTGTCACGTACCGTTGCAATATAATTTTCTCTTTCTTTCCCATCCAAGTGAGCCAGTCTTCCTTTTCTGTGTTCATATTTCCTTCCACCTTCTCCTCTCTTTTGGTCCTCTCCTCTCCAAATCTCTCTGCCTATAAGATGAGATATGTGAGATATTACCACTGATGAGAAGAAATTAAACCAAAATGTAATTGTGTTGACCCTGTCTGTCCTCTAGTGGACATTAAGAAACATGGCAGCATGGACTCATGACACTGAACCAGGACTCATTCTCTCATCTCCTCATATCGTGTACTTGTTTGCTTTTTCACTCAACTTGCTTGTTTGGTTGTTAAAGAAGTTGCGTAAGTCAAACAGGTTCTACAACTATGGATGACATCATGGACATGGATCTATCAGGTACTATACCTTTGTGTTGTTGTTGGCTTTGGGCCGTCAGGATTACACTGTACAATGTGACCAGCACAAGCAGGATGGTGCCTGGGATCCCCAGTTTCCTCTGTCAAAAGTTTAAATACAAATAAAATATTGTCAGTTCATCAACCCACCCAACTTAAATGAACATTTCAATTACAGGGCCTTATATAACACAACAGTCATTTAGGGTTTCATTATTTTTTTATAGGTTTCATCTTAGCATTTTTAAAGTGTGTTTATTTACGTGGAAAACATAATTAACAACAATTCAGAAGGTATTCACCAGTGGCAGGTGCGTGCGTGTGTGCATGTTCCATTGTTATTGTTACATTTACCTGTCATCTAATTGCGTGACAAGCTGGCTGCCTCCCTCCGTCCTTATTTCCACGACATGATCTCTGCCCAGCTGCAGTAAACTATAGTGACTGATTGGACTGTTGACAAACACAGCTCACTGTGTAGTCACGCTAATATTTCTGCCCTGTGTCAGAGGACATAGAACATCATGAGACCATGAGATGGGCATAGCAGTGGCTGTTCTGATCCCACTTGTGTGCGTTCAACATCAGAACATCTGGGGTCATATGAGAGTAACACAAGGTTTATTCAAAGGTAAACCTCATCCCTAATGAGGCCTTTAGAAACTCACAGCCAAGCCAAGATTATCTGCATGTGCCAATATCATATGTTTCAGTGGCGCTGCATGGCTCCTAGACCAGTTCAAGGTCTTACAAGAAGACAAACTCCTGAAAACACCTTAAAACAACATGCACATGGAATCATGGAAAAAATATATTTTTCATTTAAAAAACTGAACAGTACGTTCTAACAAATATACAATGTTGGTCCTAACATCAGAACTCTTTCCTTAGACCAACTCAAAAGGCAATAAAATTTTATTTCTATGTTGAGTTGAATCCTACTACATGGCTTTGTGTATGCAACAGAAATCATCGGAAATGTGTGAAAATGCAAAACAATCCATCCAGTTTTTTGAACTGTGGGTTTACAGGAAACAGCACTTGTGTGCTTTGTGTGCCTCAGCTGATGAACATTTCTCTCAGTGAATGTGAGGGTGGAGTGTAAGTACAGCATCACATTTCAGTCCATTGTTGGGAGCAGCCCTGCTATGATTTGTGGTTATGCGTCTGTATGTGTGTGCATGTCAGAGAAACAACAAGATATGTAAATCCTTTTCAAGTGCAAGCAGGGCAGGAGCATCCTTCACTCAAGAGTTTGGCTGCACGTGTGTGTGTGTATGTGTGTGTGTGCGCGCATGTGTGTGCGGAGCTTTCTCTAACAAAAAGGTACAGTCACTTCACTGCACGTGTCACGAGGCCACATGTGTGAAAATGGCTGTAGTTTCCTGCAATTTGCACTTCACTGCATGCGACAGCACACTGGAAGGGCAGGTTAAGGCTGTTGCATTGTGGAGGCAGTAAACATAAAGGCATATTTTTTCGTTGTAAAGTGTTTCTTTCACTGTGAGCTCAACTTTTTCCGTTCAGCACTTCACTTTCTATTATTTTTTCCCACTCAGATCATCAAGTAGTGGACATGCTTACTATAGCTCTTTTCATTTCATTTTCAGCTAAGTATAGCCACATTGTGCATGTTTATGACCAAGTGGCCCTGTTCAAATGACTAGCTGGAAACTTCAAAGAGATACTGCTGATACTTAAATATGTTACTTGACAAAATTATCTGACTCTATGTCAAATAATTTGTTGTTCTTTGATGAAAAACACTAATGCTGGTTTTACAGTAATATCACTTTTATTATCAATTTTAATAGATCTATATTTATCAGTTGAACATGGCTGATAACACCAAGTGTTTCAAATCATTGCACACCTTGCAGGATCAATCCTTATGTAGAGTCACTGTTTGGGATCTCTCTACTTTAAGAAATGTCTGTAAATTTAAAGGTTAACACCCCTCTAATGAAAGTTTTTGAATCACCAGGAAGAAGCACTTCAGTAAAAAAATAGAGGGTCGCACCTTAATGCAGCCAAGAGGATTTTCAACAGATTCATGAAGCCAATTATTAGTGTAGATTAATTATATGTTGTAGTATGTATATGCAGTATATACTGCCAGAGACAGCGGACATTTCTCCAGACAATCATACTGTTTGTATTCACTAAAATCTCTCTGAGCCTCCGTGAGACCTTGCCAAAGACAGGCATCATGACTCACATATCCAAACCACACACCATTAGAATGGCACCCAATTAGACTCCTGTGAATAAGGAAACTGACAGAGTTCCTTTTTGTCGTTGACGAAAATGTACACCTGAGCTCTGTAGTGACAAGATGTAATTATCAAGTTG